AACACCCTTTTATAGCCCCCTTTTATAATTAACCTTTATTGAGATACGTTTTTAATTAATTAAACTTTTAAAAATTCCCCTTTTTAATTCCCTTTGAAATAAGGCCCGAAAAGGGTATTCAGCTTTTGTATGAAAGTTACCTGTTTTTTTTTCCCCCCTTTGTGAGAGTTACCATTGTGAGTGAGTAAAGGCCCTTTTTTTGGAAGAGTTCACGCATTGTGATGGGAGAGTTCACCTGGTGAGTGAGAAAAATTTTTGGGGGTGGGGTTTTAAAATTTGGTTGGAGTTTAGCTGGGGGAGAGTTACGCATGTGTTGGGGGGCGTGTTGTTTTAGGCCCAAAAGGGTTTAAATTTGCTTGTTTAATTGAGGTTCCCCAGGGTTTGGAATGGGGGTTGCTTGTGAGAGAGTTCACGCATGTGTGAGGGAGGGAAGTTCACACGTGTGTGAGTGGAGTTCCGCATTTGTGGGGTTTTCACGCATGTGTGGGAAGGGGGTTAGCATTTGTGAGTGAGTTCCGCATTTGGGTGAGGGGCCAATGGGGAGTGGGTTTTAAAGCATTTTTGAGAGTTCACCGTGTGGTGTGGGGTTCACGATTTTTGGGAGGTAAAGCGGGGTGTTGGAGTAACCCCTTTAGGGAGGTTAATTTGGGGAATTAATTTAAATTTTTTAATTTCAAATTTTTATTTTCCCTTTTAATTCACCATTTTAACCAATTTATTTTCCCCATTTTAATTTCCCCCTTTTATTTTTAATTAAACCCTTTTTATTAATTCACCTTTTTTAAATTTAATTTTTTATGTTTTAATTCAATTTTATATTAAATTTTCACCATTTTTTTATTAAATTACCTTTATTTAATTCCCTTTAAAAATTCCCATTTATTAATTCCAATTTATAAAATTACCATTTTTTATTGGGGCCCCCATTTTTAAATTAATTTCCCTCTTTTTTTAATTTACCTTTATTTAATTTCACCTTTTTTTCCCATTTTTTAATTAACCTTTTTCCTTTTCCCAACCAATTCTTTAAACCCTATTTTTTTAAAATTTTTTTTTTTTTTCCCTTTACTTCAAACAATTATTAATTCACCGGGGTTAATTTTTTTATAATTAAAAACTTAATTCCCCAATTTATTAATTCACCTGGGGGATAATTCATATTTTTTTAATTTCCCAAACTAATTAAAGCTAATGTGGTGAGGTTCACGCATCGTGGTTGAGAGTTTCACGCATGTGGGTGGATTGAGAAGTTCACGCTACGGGGGAGTGGGGTCACGCATTGTGAGGTGAGGAGTTCACGCAGCGTGAGTGAGAGTTCACCCCATGTGTGAGTTCACGCATGGTGAGTGAGAGTTCACGCATTGTGGGGTGAGTTCACGCATGCGTGAGTGAGTGAAGCAGCGTGGTGGAGTGAGTTCACGCATGCGTGAGTGAGATTTTTCACCGCAGGGTGTGTGGGGGAGTTCACGCATGCGTGAGTGAGAGTTCACGCATGCGTGAGTGAGAGTTCACGCAGGGGGGCAGTTGAGTGAGAGTTCACGCTTGCGTAAAAGTGAGAGTTCACGCATGGTGAGTGAGAGTTTACGCATGCGTGAGTGAAAGTTCACGCATGTGTGAGTGAAGAGTTCACTGCTGGTGAGATGAGATTCACGCATTGGTGTTAGAGTTCAACGCATGTGTGAGTGATTGAGAGTTCACGCAATGTGTGATTGCAGAGTCACGCATTGTGATGGAAGTTCACGCATGTGTGATTGAGAGTTCACCCATGTTAGTTACATTTGACCAGGCACTATGTCGATTAGACACTAGCCTGTTGAGTGCATGTGTGTGTTCATGTGTGTTAGTGATGTGTCACTGTGTGTGTGGTTCGTGTGTGTGTGCTTGCCCTGTGTGGTCGTACGTGTGTGTTCGCCGGGACTGTCACATGTGTGAGTGATGAGATTTCCCACGCATGTGTGAGTGAGAGTTCACGCTTGTGAGTGAGAGTTCACGCATGCGGAGTCAGAGTTCACGCATGTGTGATTGAGAGTTCACGCATGCGTGAGTGAGAGTTCATACATGTGTGATTGAGAGTTCACGCATGCGTGAGAGTTCAGGCATGTGTGATTTGAGAGGTTCACGCATGCGTGAGTGAGAGTTCACGCATGTTGATTGAGAGTTCACGCAAGGTGAGTGAGGAGTTCACGCATGTGTGAGTGGGGAGTTCACGCATTGTGTGAGTGAGAGTTCACGAAATGTGTGTTCACGCATGTGTGAGTGAGTGAGTTCACGCATGTGTTGAGTGAGAGTTCACGCAGCGTGAGTGAGAGTTCGAGGCGTTGAGTGAGAGAGTTCACGCATGCGTGAGTGAGAGTTCACGCAGGGTGAGTGAGAGTTCACGCATGCGTGAGTGAGAGTTCACGCATGTGTGAGTGAGTGAGTTCACGCATGCGTGAGTGAGAGTTCACGCATGTGTGAGTTCACGCATGCAGGGGTGAGTGAAGTTCACGCATGTGTGGTGATTGAGTTCACGCACGTGGAGTGTGAGAGTTCAGCATGGGGTGAGTGAGAGTTCACGCATGTGTGAGTGAGAGTTCACGCAGGTGTAAAGTGAGAGAGTTCACGCAGGGGTTTGAGTGAGGGGTTCACGCTTTGCGTGAGGTTGAGAGTTCACGCATGTGTGAGTGATGGGAGTTCACGCATGCGTGAGTGAAAGTTCACGCATGTGTGAGTTGAGAGTTCATGCATGCGTGTGAGTGATGAGAGTTCACGCATGCGTGAGTGAGAGTTCACGCATGTGTGAGTGAGAGTTCACGCATGCGTGAGTGAGAGTTCACGCATGCGTGAGTGAGAGTTCACGCATGTGTGAGTGAGAGTTCACGCTTGCGTGAGTGAGAGTTCACGCATGCGTGAGTGAGAGTTTACGCATGCGTGAGTGAGAGTTCACGCATGTGTGAGTGAGAGTTCATGCATGCGTGAGTGAGAGTTCACGCATGCGTGAGTGAGAGTTCACGCATGCGTGAGTGAGAGTTCTGCATGCGTGAGTGAGAGTTCACGCATGGTGAGTGAGAGTTCACGCATGGGGTGAGTGAGAGTTCACGCATGCGTGGATGAGGGGTTTACGCATGCGTGAGTGAGAGTTCACGCATGTGTTAGAGTTCATGCATGCGTGAGTGAGAGTTCACGCATGCGTGAGTGAGAGTTCACGCATGTGTGAGTGAGAGTTCACGCATGCGTGAGTGAGTGAGAGAGTTCACACTGATCACTACACCTGAAGTTAAACATTTCTCATTAGCTTACTAATACACTTAAGAATTTTTTATTGCTTAAGACAGATCTTAGAACTGAGTATTTTTTAAATAATGATTACATTAAAAAGCAACAAACAATAGCAACACAAACAACAGCAACAACTGTAATAATAATGATAATAATCTCTATTGCAAGTAGTGTGAAACACTGAAAAAGTTGAAATATCCCAACATTTTGAGCATCAATAACAGCCTGAATGATCAGAAACCGGGCAGCGATTAGATGACGGAGAATCGAGCCTCTGATGATTTACCCTCAAGAGTTCGGCGGTTCATGGAGACCAATACAATACATTGCGACGCAATACACTTTAATACAATACAACCCAGAACAATTTAATACAATACAGTATAACTGAAAACCAATATTTTGAAAGTTCGATAAATGACACAGCATTGATCTTGAACTCAATAACTTACTCTTCTAGAAATCCCTTAAAGAAGATGTTTGGCCCAGTGCCGGTAATAATGCCAGTGCCACCGATGTCAGCAGCATACATCACTGACATCAGGAGCACCACCTTCAGGTCCTTTTCGATAGAATATTTATCGCTACGGTTTGCTTTCTTCTGTCTAAGACCAAGTGGTGGGGGCTCCGTCGAGACACAGGTCACAAGACTCCCTTTGGGTTCATCCACGCTGTAAGGTTTGTTGTTCATTGCAGTACTCGTGTTAAGTCTTGCAGTTTCCTCCAGGTTATTCTGCTCTGTGGCGCCATTATACATTTTTATCTGATATGATGGTGGTTCATTAACGTCTTCTCCCACTGACTTCGCTGTTGTTGTGTCAAGGTCCAGCTTTGCAGCTTTGGAGAAATCATCGTGGTTAACTGCTGTCTTATTCATGTTACTGCTTCTGGAATCGTGTTGTGGTTCAGTGACAACCTCGTTCATGTTAATCCATGAAGTCCCAGCTTCCTTATCACCACAAACTCTTACAACGAAAGTAAACAGTAGAGAGATGCTTCGTTACAATGAAACAGTTTTAACCTAAGTAAAGCATTATGTTATTATCGTGCATCTTAATAAAATAATTAAGCGTACTCTTCACTTAATCCAAGACTGTAGAGGCTCTGGAATGGTCTGCAAATCTGTTGTGAGAAAGTAAATGGTTTGTAATCCTGCAGTGAGGAAGTAAACGGTTTTCAAACCTGTTATGAAGACGTAAAAAATCTTTAATTCGTAAACATTTGCTCCTATCTATCTGTAATACAGCCTATGGTGTCCAACCATCCAGAGTTACAGTTATACATCATATACATCAACGAAACGTAAACACACTAATCCTTTACTGAGAAAATGCTTCGCTCAGTAAGAAAGAGCTTTATCAAGTTAACTTAATAAAGCTCACACCAAGCAAAACGTCTTAATAAACGCAGTGTAAACGTCGTTGATTTGCTACGTTTCGCAGAACTCTCAGGCGTAATATACTCAGTATACACTATAACGGGAAAACTCAATTGACAAATTAGAGTATCCGTTCGCAAATTGCACACTTCCTTTCCCTGCGAGGCTACTGATCCTATGACACGGCTCCACCGAGGTCATCACATGACCAAGACCCGCGTCAGGTGCCTGGTCATTTCACATTTCTCGTGACAAATATTTGTGACCCATCGTTATGACCGGGTCGCTACATTTATCTGGGAGGTCAAGCATCCTGCGTCATGCACTCCTCACAATCCCTAGGTATTTCTCTTCCGAGAGGTAGCTATCACGATAAATGCTTCCAGGCAATTCAATCTACAAAATGATTTCTTTTTTTCACCATTCAGAGTGAGGGTAAGAGTCAGATGTTTTGATGCTAGTGAAGGAATCTGAACCATTATTTTCTTCTTCAGGGCAAATTGGATTACCTTCTATTCCCAGGTAGCTATGTGATCGTGAAGGATTTAGCTCTTACCTACAATAATAATCATAACAATAATAATATATAATCATTATACTAACTTCCTTTGCTGTTATGTCAATCTGTAATGTACCTCTGTCAGAATTTATGCAACATATATTAACCTAAGTGTAGCAGTATACATGCATCATACAGAACATGACAATGTGAGTGAGGCAGCCTTCATGCAACATGCAGAACATAATGGAAGCCATACTGCACACAACATGAATACAATAAGGTTCCTAAGTTAGTAGGTGATAAGTAACATCAGCAGCAAAACTTTCTGCAAGCATTTTCATTTTAGTATCCCCCTCCCTTTGTTATATCAGAATATTGAAGCACCGTGATTGTAGGCACCTTCTAGAGTAGCAGTTAGTTCTATCTAAAATAAGCGTCATATATACACCGAGAGGTGCAATACAATCCACAGTGAAGCGTAGTATTATTCCAGGCGCTCTCCTGATATTTCACCTTATTAATGTTGTACTGCATATTAGGATATCATCTATTGCTTGAGATATCTTATTGCACACTGAGAGATGTATGCCACTGGATGTATATACACCTGGGGGGAGGGGGGTATTTTAATCCTTAATTTAAGGGATTAAAGATTTTTTGATTAGTGAACAGGTTGCATGCAGCCTTAATGACCATCGTGTAGTCGACAGCTTTAAACCCCATTAAACGACCAAAAGAAAATTATCCGATTAATTACGCTTTTTTTCATTTTTTAAATAGTTTATATAAGTGTTTTCGATTTTTTCTTCACAGTGGAAAGAAATATTTAAAAAAATTACTTAATCGGAAATTTTCTGAATTAGTCATGCTTTCAATGGCTTTAAAATTCATGCTGAAACAGATTTGAGTAACCTGGCAAGTACGCCTTTCATCACTAGGTTAGGACCAGTGCCAGTAAGGGAGCCAGTGCCTCCTAGGTTAGCCGAGTATGCTATAGCCAGAAAACACATATCCCGCAGAGCCTGGCATGATTTGTTGGGTGGTATGGTGGTGAGGCCGGTGTTGACACCCTCCTCAACCATCTTGTCAACTTTCTTCACTGTCTCGTGCTGAACCTTACCATTCTTGTACTCACTGTCAACATGGACGCTTCCAGATTTTCTGCAATTAGTTATTAATGACAATCTAACCAAACAACCTCTGCAACTGAATAAACATACGAGATTAGTAAAATTCACATTACACAAATAGACATGAATTTATTTTTGATAAACAAACTGATTTAGTAGAGCATAAGAAAATATTATTCTGAACATTCGACACTGTATATATAAGTGACCACTGCTGCCTGTTATTTACACTGACCTGGAAATAAAAGTATGAATTACTATATTGCAGTTGTAAATACTTGATTATCAATAAAATTTACTAAATGTTGTGGAATTTTGTTCACCATCAAAGATGACCAGTGATTTCTTCAGTTCAATGTCAGGCGATGATTAGTAACTGGTTAAGCATCAACATTAATATAAGAATCTTATCTATCAGTGACTAACTTATTAAATATGTGGTTACTAAATCATCAACACTGCTGTAGTGACAATAAATCATCAACACTGCTTTAGTGGCACTAAATCATCAGTACTGCTGTAGCAACACTAAATCATCAGTACTGCTGTAGCGACACTAAATCATCAGTACTGCTATAGTGACACTGAATCATCAACACTGCTGTAGTGACACTAAATCATCAGCACTGTTGTAGTGACACTAAATCATCAGTACTGCTGTAGCGACACTAAATCATCAGTACTGCTATAGTGACACTGAATCATCAACACTGCTGTAGTGACACTAAATCATCAGCACTGTTGTAGTGACACTAAATCATCAGTACTGCTGTAGTGACACTAAATCATCAGCACTGTTGTAGTGACACTAAATCATCAACACTGTTGTAGTGACACTAAATCATCAGTACTGCTGTAGTGACACTAAATCATCAGCACTGTTGTAGTGACACTAAATCATCAACACTGCTATAGTGACACTAAATCATCAGCACTGTTGTAGTGACACTAAATCATCAGCACTGTTGTAGTGACACTAAATCATCAGTACTGCTGTAGTGACACTAAATCATCAGCACTGTTGTAGTGACACTAAATCATCAACACTGTTGTAGTGACACTAAATCATCAGTACTACTGTAGTGACACTAAATCATCAGTACTACTGTAGTGACACTAAATCATCAGTACTGCTGTAGTGACACTAAATCATCAGCACTGTTGTAGTGACACTAAATCATCAGCACTGTTGTAGTGACACTAAATCATCAACACTGCTATAGTGACACTAAATCATCAGTACTACTGTAGTGACACTAAATCATCAGTACTACTGTAGTGACACTAAATCATCAGTACTACTGTAGTGACACTAAATCATCAGTACTACTGTAGTGACACTAAATCATCAGCACTGTTGTAGTGACACTAAATCATCAGCACTGTTGTAGTGACACTAAATCATCAACACTGCTATAGTGACACTAAATCATCAGTACTACTGTAGTGACACTAAATCATCAGTACTACTGTAGTGACACTAAATCATCAGTACTACTGTAGTGACACTAAATCATCAGTACTACTGTAGTGACACTAAATCATCAGCACTGCTGTAGCGACACTAAATCATCAGTACTGCTATAGTGACACTAAATCATCAGTACTGCTATAGTGACACTAAATCATCAGTACTGCTGTAGTGACACTAAATCATCAGCACTGTTGTATAGTATAGCCCCTACAGGTTCAGAGCTGTACTATGAATCGTAATAATCTTCAAAGTTATCAACATTGGTTATTAGAACGTTTAACAATATTTTACTGAAGTAAACAGTGAACCATAGAACAAGAACTGGCGTGTACTTTAAGTTTGGTTGCGAGAGTTGTCCGTTTCATGACTAACACTCGGAGGATCAAACCCACACCGGTCCCCCAACGATTCACGTGGGTTTAGCGCTTTACATGTGTATAAATTTAAAATAAATAATTTTGGAAGTTGGTTAAACTGGGTATCCCACAGCACAGGTGAAGCACTCCCAATGTTTGCTTTTTCTCTATACAATAATAATAATTTCTAAAAAGTACGTTATACAGCTGATATAGGATTTTTTTTTATATTTTATTTAAAAAACTTTACAGCTTAACATAAAATAAAAGGGTATGAGTACAGTACGATGCTCAGTCCTACACAACATACACTGACAACATTGTAACTGACACAAAAGAGGCTACCCATATACACTCACAAATATTTCCATATAACATACTTAACAATAAGAAAAAAGTAACAAGGGTGATCCGGCCCCTAACCTCATCATAAACCTTAGCAAACATAACTTACAGGTGACCACAGTAACAGGGCCAAATATAAATAAAATTATATAAACTTCCATTGAAACTAAACCTTTTAGGTTTATATAGTTAACATAATATGACTGTGACATAATATGACTGTGACATAATATGACTGTGACATAATATGACTGTGACATAATATGACTGTGACATAATATGACTGTGACATAATATGACTGTGACATATTACAAAGGCTCACAACCTTCACATGAGTCAATAAGAGGAATGACCTACATCATAATCTCATTAAAACAAGTATATGATCTTCCACAACTAACAACCTATCCAAGAAAATTGCCTAAAAACATACATACGCCTCACTACAATCCCTCTTTAGTCATTGAAAAATAATGAAAATCTTAAGCCTCCACTTATACTTAATAAATATTAATCAGCCTCTTCCACAGGATGATCACATTATATAAAGTAAAGAAACAAAACTCCATTTGTCTGGGAATGAGGCCTGAGCTTTCTACCACCTGCAGCTCATAAGACTGCCATCCCCACGAGCCCCTTTGAGGCGGGGTAGATGGCAGACCAGAGGCCTAGCTTCTCCCTACGAGCCCCGTGAGGGCGGGGGATGTGGCTAGGCCTGGGACAGTTGGTCCCAAAGATGAGGGGATAGTTGTACCTCCTCCCATGGGAGACTTGGGTCT